CTCTTCTTGCAAAGAAAAGCTGTGCTTTATCTAAATTCTGGCCTTCTTTTGCTGGTGATCCAATTGCTGAAAACATATCATCAGATTCTTGTTAGTCTCGCTTTCATTTCCAATCGACGCTTCAATATCACAAATAAATCAAGCTAATAAAAGCCATTGTATTATTAAAGTCATATCTATTAGCCTGTAACGTTTGTTGCGTCACACTATAACTTGGAAACTAATTTCTTCATACCACATTCCATCAGTGATAAAGATAGCCAATAAAGATTTTTGTTGCTGGAAATTTGTTATCGGTAACATTCTTATAAGTTTGATTTGATTTCAACCCGGATTTTTACGATTCGATCAATGCGTCCACATTCTAATAAAAACACTTTTTTACATAAATATATATGTAATTAATTAAAAATAAATAAAAGAATTAAAAAAGCCATATCATGTGTTTATAAAATAAATACAAAATTTAAAACTACGATGATAAAAGATTTAGAGAACAATTTCAATAATTTCGTTTCAATTACCAGTAATTATTTATTTAATCTCGTTTGGCACGAGGTCTATTCGTGAGAAATGTGAATGGACTACACGTGGTAAAAAAAGAAACAAGCACGCACACGAGGGAGAACCGAAAGAGAACACCACTGACCCGCCCAAAAGTACAATCGAGTTAACAATATAAAAGCACAGCGGGAGAGGGATAGGGACGACGACAACGGACGACGACGGACGACGACGGACGGGGAACTGACGGACGGACTCCCGCACCGCACGCACTACCACCAGCCAGCAGTCATCAGCCGCGCGTCTACGTTTCCATGGAAATGTCGCGGCCGCGATGCCGGAGGAGCGCCGACGGCATCGTCGCGGCCACGCCGCGCTCTCCCTCGTCGCACACCAGGTCGCTCACGTCACACAGCGTCGTCGACAACGTGCGCACGGAAGCCGCAAGCGTCCCAGGTGGAGTGCATCTTCGATTCACGTAACAACGACGGCCCGCGCACCACGCACCGCACCACCCGTCGTTGTAATTATCGCAAAAAATCAATATGGCTCCGACCGGACTACCTGGCTGAACCATAGACGATAGAAAGAATAGATGTCTAGAGGAGTTAGATACAGTGGCCGGATGCCACTACAGCGACGCGGGCCGGATTTTTCGCGCATGCGCAAAATGAAATTTTGGAAATATGCAGGCACGTATATCGTACATGTGTATAAAAAATTGATTTTATGTATATCATATTAATGTATCTCGTAATAAACCAATAATAGCTATGAAAAGATATTATCATCTTAAATATTCTTTTTAAATTAACAGTTTTTACAAAAAATATATTTCAATGTTTTTTATATATTCAAATGTGTATATATTATAGGTATTAGAAAGAATTATGTTGATTATTTAATTATGTTACTTTCTATGTTATGGCTTCAAACATAGAAAAGTGTTTGCTGATAAAGAGAGAGAGAGAGAGAGAGAAAGAAAGGAATTTTCTATCCTTCATATCATCAAAATATAACAAGTGCAGCACTGTAGTAGATGTACTACACTCGAAATGAAGAAATGGCTGATCTGATAGTTTTGTATGTTCGTACAGTGCTTTTTTAGAATGCTTATAATATGCTAAAATATTCAGTGTTATTGCAGTATTTTATACAATACAAACTGCTAGTTTAATAATAAAAATGGAATGCAAATTGTGTGGTGTACACTGGAAAAAAAATAGCAATATTTCTTTCCATTCGTAAGTATATGTATATATATATATATATATTCAAAAAATTATCATGATTTAAAACGAAATATATATAAAATGATATAATCCAAGTTTACAAAATATATGTCTAAAGGTATATATCTTGTATTGAAACTCGAATTTTAACAAGATATCTTTCATTCGTTTTTTATCTCGTGTTAAATTCGCTCATATTAATGATTTTTATTGTATAACATAAAGTGTTACACAAGGTATTTTCTCCGAGACTATTAAAGGTAGCGAGAAAATTTTTTTTGCAATTTTTACATCTGTCATTTAAAAGACCCTAATGAACTATAAAAACTACAAATGGAATTTTGTCGCTATTTTTAATAATTTTGAAGAAAACGTCTTGCAACACTTTATGCGGTACACCTTGGATATCTTTACAATTATTTTTACTTTATTATTTATCAACGAACTCAATTTTAAATTTCGATTCAATAGCGATTAAATAATTGAATTCATTTTGGATTTACAAAATTATATAGATGCTCTTAATATATGTGTATATGGTATATGTATGTTTTTTAGAATTCCAAAAAATCCTGTTATTCGAAGAAAATGGCTTAAAATATGCAATTTCCAAGGAATGTCAAATCGAATCAAGTTATCTTCAATTAGAATATGCTCTGCACATTTTGATACTGATTCTTTTTCCTTTATTCCATCAAAAGATAATTTTCATCGTTTGTATCTTAAACCTGATGCTGTACCAAAATTGGGAATATTTAGAGGAGGAAGACACATGCGGCAGAAATTGATTCAGTAAGTATATCAAGAAATACAGTAGTGCTTTGTGCAGAATACAAGAAATAAAAGTTTCTTTATCCTAATTGGTCAATCAAACGCTACTCTACTCCAAAGAGTAAATTTTGGAATACAACTCAATGAGAGCTGATAGTATATTACAGTGAACCTTCCCTCCATTATTTTATAGAAAATCGGAGTCAGAATTAGAAAGAGACAGATATACCTTTGTTTTAAATCTCTGTCTCTTTTTTATATTATATTATCCAAGCTAAAAACATTTCTCATTAGATATTTAATAACAAGAGCGATACAGCAGTGTATGCAACTCTCACAGGAAATCTTTAGATTTTATTTAATTATCAATTTAAATCTATTTAAATTGGAAATGTTTGTAAACTATTTATTTTTCTTTCAATTTTTGTAAAATCTAAATAAAATCATTTCTGGCTATGATACTATAATAGCATCAAAAAAATCAGCGAATTCTCAACAAAGATAACGATCCACCCAGAGCATGTATATATATTAATAAATAAGCAATTATGATATATAATATTGATATTTTTTTCTTCACGCACTATGCAATTATTTATTTTATAGAATCAATTTCAAGAATAGATTTAAAATGGCCGCCGAAAGGATCTAACGGTGAAAGTGCTACCAAGTCTAAAAAGCAAAAATGTTCTCCATTGGATCATTTCTCTACTCTTAAAGGTTCACTCTAGTATGTTGTAAGCTCAATGACAAGAATCGCTCGCGATTCATATTACGTTCTGCATAGTCTGTGTATCATACAGATATAACCTGATATAACCTCATGACTGTTTACTGTGTTTACGATATATATGTGTATATCGGAGGATGAAATTTATACGCATTTTCCTTTTTATCCATTCTATTTTCTATTAGCGTTACATATGACGCGATTCTTATGACAAATGCGTGACAACGATAACATTGTGCCATAAAAACAAACATGTCTACTTGTCATTAGCATCATGTATAATTTGTAAAGAAGGTAACTCTTGCGATTTTGATTATATATTTCGAAAATCATATATATATATTTTTAGATATTACACATTTTTTTAAGATGCGTAACGTCGTACAATGGCTGCGTTCCGAAAGCACGCTTATGCGCTGAAAGCGTCGTTCTATCTTTGTTGTTTACGGAAAATTGAACAAGGACAAAGCATGCTCATGGCGCTAAAAGCGTGCTCCTGGAACGCACCCAATGTGAAATTTGTTAAAAATCTATAGAACACCGTTTACACATATACTTAACAAATATGTTAAATAGATTTTATTACTTTTATGATAGAGTTGTAAATCCATCTTTAAACAGTTCCGAATATTCAGAATTGTTTGCTTATCGTATCTTTTTAAATTTGATTTGAATTTCTTTTCATTTTTTTGAATTTTTGTAATTTATCTCCAGCAGCAATATCAGTTATTTTTGTGTCATAGGAACAGGAAAGATACCGAGACAAATTGGTGCCTGGGTAAAGTTTTTAAAGAACATTATATTGCACATCTTGATGAGATGAGTAATCAAAAAAAGGTAACCGAAGATGATAAGATCAGAACAGATGGATTCAAAAGAGGATTGGAAGCGGACAAAATCCTTGGTTCGGCAGATGATAACGGAGAGCTAATGTATTTGATGCAATGGTGAGTAAAGACATCATTACGTACTATATTTATCTCCCTAATAATATATTACAATAATTTAGAAAAATTATTGAAACTAATCTGTAACAAGAATGGATTTTCTTTATGCAGGAAAGGAACAGATGCGGTCGACATGGTACCTGCTAAGGAGGCTAATATAAAATGTCCTCAAATTGTTATTCGATTTTATGAGGATAGATTAGCTTGGCACACAGCAAAACCATGTGTAAAATAGACGTACTTCCTTGAAGTAAGATCATGTATATGTAAATATTTATTAAGAAATTGAATTTTATTATATTTAATTGTATAATAAATATTCTTTATGAAATCGTTTGTGCATCTACATATTTAATAAAATGTTCCATTTCTTTTTAAATCTGTTTACTTAATTTTAATTCCCCCATACATATTGAATATATATAGAACAAAAAATTTAATAACTTTTGAATATATTATTTGTATGCTTATATGTTGTATATATTAGCAATTACCGAAAAATATTTCTCAAATAAGATTTTTAATTTCTAAATTGATATATATAAAATAATTTAAATGATAAAGATGAACGCTTCTCATCCTACATTTATCTTTTATACATGATTTCAAGCACAAAAAAAAATCGCAACTAAAAAGAATAGACCCACGAGTAGGATTTACAAATCCACAGTCTTTTTTTACCATTTTATTATTGTGTTCGACAAAATAATAGAGGCGCGTACAATGAATAATGTATTACAATGTCTATACACGACGTTGCGTTTCGTTATTACCAGCGTATCTCTCTTATTGTAATAATTAATATATATACAAGTTAGATCGCTGATAGAAAATTCGTAACGAATCTACAGAGTCGTTTTATTTACAAAAATCCGCCGCCGCCAATTTCGGTGCCGATCGGGGATCAATGAGATCTTGGAATCTCTTAAAACAATGGGTTGCAATTAGAAGAGCTTTTAAAAAACCGAAATTTAATTATTTCCACTTTACGAATATGCATTAAATTTTATCTTCAAGTACATTGCCAATAATATAATTATTTTGATAAGCAGGAACAAAATTGAAACAGGATTTTTTCATTTTTTCGTCAACAAGCGATTTCGGAATGCTAAAATTTCCAATCTTAATTAAAAGTTTTTTGTAAAAAAAAATCTATATTTAAATTTCTCCATATCGCGAAATATAATTGTGTGAAATGTTTAATTTAATAAAAAGTTTCAATCAGCAAATTTCAGACAATGTTGTAAAAATGGATTTCGATCCTTTTGACAAGTGATTTTCAAACGGACGACACACGCGACAAAAGGGATATATGTAACGTTGCGATGTGACTCGCTATTTATAATACATCCGAATGCTAATGCAGCTACCCTAACGCCGTTCGAAGATGACGTCCGTATTGAAAATTGTTAAAAAAAAAAAAAAAAAAAAAAAAAAAAAAAAAAAAAAAAAAAAAAAAAAAAAAAAAAAAAAAAAAAAAAAAAAAAAAAAAAAAAAAAAAAAAAAAAAAAAAAAAAAAAAAAAAAAAAAAAAAAAAAAAAAAAAAAAAAAAAAAAAAAAAAAAAAAAAAAAAAAAAAAAAAAAAAAAAAAAAAAAAAAAAAAAAAAATACATTTTATTTATATAAGTAGCATGGTCAATATTTTAATTGCTCTTGCAGGCAATGTATATTAACGCGAATTAACATCATTAAAAACATTGATTAACAATTTCTGTTAAAATACAGTCATTCCAATTATTCAAGAGAATGATTTTAGGTTTCTATTTATTGTTATTTTGTTTCGGACAGACCGATAGATTTAATCTAACTACATCGCTCGTTGCAACTTGAATACGTTGCGTAAATGTTGAATTTAAGGGTTATGTTTATCCCGATATCGCAATAGATACGCGAAGAAAAGTTTGATAAACGGATGCATACTTGCTCGTGTATACGTAAATACGCGCTTTGATTCTCTACGAGAAGAGCGATATGTCGCGACATAAAAGCTTGAGGAATAAAATAACGGGTCAGAAAGCTCCGAGCGGTGGTACGAGTACAGTATTATACATATCGTTCGCGCGATGAAAGAAAGATCAGAACTTTCGCGGTCGACCTCTTTTCCGAGGAGATGCGATTTTACGCGCATTCGGGCGGGCGCGCAATCTCCGCCGCAGCATTCTCGGCGTGTCGCTATGCATTTTCAGGTGCTGCAAGAACAGCATTCTGGACTTGATCAGCTTCTTGCAGATATGACACCTGCGCAATTGCTCTACAAGCAACACGCAATAGTGAGATTAGAAGAACGATAAGACTTTCTCATTTATTCTATATTAAAATTTGTCAACAACTGTGTTGTTCTGTAATTTAAATACATACCAGACTTCTTAGTGCCATGCTGCAAACTGTGCGCGTCCAGCAAAGCGGAACTTGGGAACCACCGGCCGCAGTCCGTGCAGCTGAGCTTTTTCGTTTCCCACGAGGAATTGCCCCTTTGCTTCCGTTTTCTCTTCACTCTGGCCAGCATACTGAGCTCGCTTTTCGGTGTGTCGTCATTGTCACTCAGTTCTTCCTCTTCTTCTGTTGAAGTTGCTTCCTTCCGTTGAATCGATCTCCAGGATTTGTCCTGGGTTCTGTCATAAAAAAGCCTTGATGAGCAAAATATATAGATAAACTTTTATTAATATGCTATGGAAGCTAACTAATATTGGATTTTACTAGAAAAAGTAGAATGAAAAACATGGCACTATGCTCCAAAGAAACAGATTCATAAAAAAACAGAAAGAAGCTTGAAAAAAAATCAATGAATGATAATTAATTAAAAAAACAGTCATATTATAGAATTATATAAAAAATGTCAGATTAAAAAAACATATTACCACTTTTTTTCTCATATTAGATTGCAAAATAAAGAGTTATTTTGTATTAATTAAAAAGAAGTTAAATCGCTAATTAATAAAGATTCCTATATGAATGTAATATATGGATGTTTCTCTGAAAAAAAAAATAAAATAAAATAAAATAAAATAAAATAAAAATAAATAAATAAAAGTGAACATATTTTAAGATGAGATATAACAAGGAGATTCATATTTATCTCACACATATAAAAATTAATTTCACATAAGGAAAAAAATGTGAGCCTATACAATATAACAAAATATGATTACTATTGATTTATATTCTGGTGAAGTAAGATCTAACCTGTGCTTTTTCCTCTGCGAATGCGCCGCGCGAACATGACGCGCCAGGGCCACGACCACGTCGAACTTTTCCTGACAGATTTTGCAGGCGTATTGCTTCCTAACCTTCTGATTTCCCTTCTTGTCTTTGGCCTTCCTCTCACCGAGCCTGAGAGCATTCGCCGGTGATTTCTGGCAAATTCTAAGGTGCGTGTCGAAGGCACGTCGCTGCCGAAAATTCCTGGAGCAATGCTCGCACCGCATCATGTCGTTGAGCTTCGTCAAATCATCGGCGGATTCCTCATCATCATCCTCCTCCTCTTCCTCCTCCTCATCATCGCCGTTGTCAGAGTCCGAGTCTCTCACCATGATAATCTCGTTTTCCTTGTCACTGGAATACTTGTCTTTGCTGTCGTCCAAGGTGATTTCTACCACGTTGTGCTTTGGCTGCTTCTCTTCCTCGTCGGCATCCAAGTCGATCACTTCCACGACCTATCAAGCAAGTTTCAACATGTCAGAAACTGAGAAGCGTTAAAAGTTCAAATATATTTAAAGATATCTGAATAACTAAATATATTTTTCTTTGATTCTGCAGCTATTGAAGAAAAAAGTATAAATTGTATACTAGTCCGATAGATCAAAGATTGTAAATTTGGAAGTTGAAAGATTCGAGAATATATGCAATAGTCTTAATTCACTAATCATTTGTATATAATGCATTCACCTCTCGCCGCTTCGTTCGTTTGATCCTCTTTGTGTTGGGCATGGTGACGCGCATCTGTGTCGATAATCGACGTCGCCGCCTGCCGCGTTTCTTGTTGGTCAGCTCTTCCTCGCTTAACATTGACGCTGGCTGGATGATGATTTCACCGTCGTCTCGGTTTACAGAGATCAATTGTTGCTTCCGCGATCGCTTGACTTTCAGTTGTGGTTGCGGAGTGCTCGCTGTCATCATCGTCGATGGCGGCGAATCGGTTAACGTATCGATCAACTGCTGCCGATCGTCCTCCGTGACAGAAACACGGTTGATCGGTGACATGTACAAGTCTAATTCGTCCATGTCTTCATTCGATGGCTCGATGCTCGTCGAAGAATCATGTAGAAAGTCCTGCGGGAAGTTTAACGACTCGTCGTCTTGCAATTTGTCAGATTTTTTTTCGCTTCTTTCCGATGCCTTTTCGCGAAAGGTCTTCAGATTCTGCAACGTCGCCTGAATCTCGTCGAACGTCAGCTCCGAATCTGATTGATGGTCGCCCTCTAAAAGAATATATTGTACGGTCGAACGTTCCATCAGTTCATCCTTGTGTTCGCCATTATCCTGACTCTCATCAGATTGCTCGGCTAAAAAAATGTATTTTCCAATCTTTATATTTATATATAAAAAGAGTATGTATTATATGTGTGTGTGGTTCATTATAAATCCAATGTAACAGAATTTATTTCTGTATAATAAAAATAATTTGTATATAAAAAAGAATTTGTATCGATGTTTACCGATATTTATGGAATTATTATCCATCATAAAATACGTGATATCCGATTGTTCATCATCAGTAACATGGGTCCCATCGCTGGATGTTGAATTAATCTTGACAGAATCATTATAGTTCTGGCAGGTTTTATAATTGTGTACTATTCCGCAATCTCCTTCCTGCACAATGCTCTTTTTGCTGTTCTTGATTGGCGTATCGTGAGTAAAGATCTTATCATTCGCTTGCTCGTTGACTTCTTCGAAATCCTCCTTGCGATAAAATACCGGCGGCTGAGTAGTTATTAGCCGTTTCTTCATCTGCGACGGTTTTTTCACCGTTCGCACGGCTCCTTCACCTATTAGTCGTTCTACATCTGCTCTATAAGTATGTTTATATTGTAATTTTTACGATCAATTTATAAAAACAAGAACAGAAAAAAAGAAAAACTAAATTAAGTAAAAACATGTGAAACTAATCCTTCTAACTGAAAGAACTAAGAAACAATTTCTCTAAAAATCAATCTTTTAACTAAAACTAGATCAGTTTACTTACTTCATGAGAAATTGAAAATTACTCGGAGGCTCGCCAGATTCATCGTAAACAGCCACAGCAAATATCTCGTCCGAGTCTTCCACAGCATAGAGAGCCAATTGTTGTCCTGCTGCAGTGACAAAAGTGGCAATCGTTTCTTCATCACTCTCTTGCTCCTCCATCTTGATCTCCTGTACATTATATTCAATCGTCATATAAATATCACTATTAAGCTAATAAATTTTAGTTCATTCAAAGCAAACAAATGGAGAATAACCAGTTCCTAAATATGTACCCTCCAAGATGATTCAGCAATTGTCTCGCAATCCCATTTCTCCTCCAGCAAACTCTCTGTCAATGGAACGGAAACAATGGATTCCTTATAATCTACAGCCACATTGTCACGGGTTTCCAGATTCTCTTCAAAATACATAGGTGCATTCGTCTTGCACTCAATTTTGTCTGGCAAATATCCATTTGTATCCACAACTATTTCTTCACCTACAACCTGTAAAATATAGAAATGTTAAGAATATTGATATAGAGATACCATTGTTGACAAAATTGAATTTTTTACCAGACTTTCCTCGATACATTCTTTTTTCACTGTGCATTGTTCCAATTGTTTATCTTGGAAGCTGATTGTTGCAATCATCCCATCGGATATACATTCCTCATAAGCATGTAATCCACTGGTAAACGACATTTTTGAGAGTAGCTCAATGAAACATTATCATTGTTGTCATAATCATAGGAATTATCTGTAGATATATAAATGCAAAAATATATAAAATATATTGGCATTTTATATGCAAATAATATAAAATATAGTATCCAATAGAGAGACATACGTATATATATAATTATAATAAATTTTTATATTAAAATTTATCATAACATTATATACATTTTTTTAAAGTTGAATTTTATATATATACGTACATTTTATTTATATAAGTAGCATGGTCAATATTTTAATTGCTCTTGCAGGCAATGTATATTAACGCGAATTAACATCATTAAAAACATTGATTAACAATTTCTGTTAAAATACAGTCATTCCAATTATTCAAGAGAATGATTTTAGGTTTCTATTTATTGTTATTTTGTTTCGGACAGACCGATAGATTTAATCTAACTACATCGCTCGTTGCAACTTGAATACGTTGCGTAAATGTTGAATTTAAGGGTTATGTTTATCCCGATATCGCAATAGATACGCGAAGAAAAGTTTGATAAACGGATGCATACTTGCTCGTGTATACGTAAATACGCGCTTTGATTCTCTACGAGAAGAGCGATATGTCGCGACATAAAAGCTTCACAAGATTCGCAATATCAAACAACATAACACACATTGGTGTAACAAGAGCATTAACATGAGCGGAAACCGCTTGTATGTAGTGGATAGTGGCGAGAACAATAAATAATTGCGGTGTGTCAAGAGTTGGGACGCGAAAAAAAGAAAGAAAAAAAAAAAATAATGATTTCTACCAACAAAGAACGATAAAAAGGCACTAGATTGAATCGGAATGAATAAAGCCTGTATCGGATTACGCAAGATTGAAATTGACCAATGAGGACAAAGAAGTTTCAACTCCTTTTGAAACCATTGACCAATGAAAAGTATGGTATAGAGAAAGGAAGAAGATGGCCTACCTTACCTATCTATCTATCTATCTTTTCTTTTCGTGCTCGAACTCCAATAATGCACCGAGCATTCAAGATCAATAAAATCGATAAAAGTGTCCATCTATTGATCAGAAATGCTTCGAATCGTTTGACTGGTCGATCGAAACAATAGGTCAAAGACTTCTTTGTTTGATTTAATCAATTTTAGATGCTCGATTGATCAATCAAAACAAAAAAATCTTTTTAATTCCAAACTATTCGAATCACTTTGTAAACCGAGTGCTCAATAGTCTTGCGACAGCTACGATATAAACTGATGGGGTAATAAATACGTGAAAATTTTAAAACATATTTTTATCGCCCTTTGTTATTTTTGATTGCATAGTCGGATATTTCCCAATTTTTTTACGCTTATAAATTTTCTTATAAATTTTTTCACCACGCCGTGAAGAAAAATTTAGAAGAGCCGGTAGAAGGAATTGAGCATAACCTCAAGACATTTAAATATGTGAATCATTGAAATAGTTTATTATTAATTCAAACAATTGATTGTTGTTAGTTCGAGCTAATCTCGTTTGAATTTTCAGCAATATACTTGGAATGTTCACAATAAATTATTCGTGATAGATACTTGACTGTCTTCTTGCATGATAAAATGGAACCAAAAGTTCTAAGCCTATCTATACTCTTAATTACAATATTAGCATCGTCGATCGCTCAAACTCAACAAAAGAAGAAATCATGGCGCGACAAGGATATAAGAGACATGACGGAGGCTGATCTAGAGCATTTGCTGGAGCAGTGGGAAGTATGGTTGAATTATTGTTCCGTTAGAAAGACAGAAAAATTGAATAGATCTTTTGATTAATCTAATATTTTAGGAAAATGATGAACCTCTGGAACCAGATGAATTGCCAGAACACTTGCGACCCAGTCCAAAGATAGATTTATCCCAGGTAATAGATTGCCTTTATTGCCTGTGTTTATATATAAAGATCTATGGTTGTCAATTGAATTGGCAAATGTATTAATTTATCAGTTTTTTCACACTCGTGCATAAAATAAAATTTAACATGTAGATAGATACTTCAAATCCAGATAATTTGCTGAGAATTACAAAGAAAGGGAAGGGCGTTATGATGTTTGTGGATCTTGAGCCAGATATTTCGGAAGAGCAAGCCGAGATTGTGATGCGTATTTGGCAGACCAGTCTGCAAAACAATCATATTATTGCAGAGAGGTATTTTTACATTCTATGCACAAGATATTGTACAGAAATTTATCTATTACCCTATATTAAAGAATTACTTAAATTATGTTTCCTAATAACTTATCATTAACATATATTTACGGACATAAATAATATAATTCCATAAACATAACCATCATAATAATTAAATAATATAATTTCTACTGTCATTAATTCACTTGATTTATTGTTAAAAAAACATATAGACGTTAAAAGATATGAGAATAGTAAAAATATTCAATATGTAATTTTATGCAGATATCCAATCGATGTGAAACGTTCGATATACATGTTTCGCGAAGGATCTCAGGCTGTTGATGCTAAAAATTATTTGCTGCAGCAACCCGAACTATCTCATCTCACCCTTGAAGGACAGACATTTTATAGTAATGAAAAACAACAGGTAACAATGTTATATGTTGATAAATATTAGTATTTATAAATTCTTTCATAAGAGATAAAACAAGCTTGATCTCTACAGAAAGCAGCTGATGAGTCGATAAGAAAGCAAAATGAAAAGATAAGTCAGGGCAAGGCTGAGTTGTAATCTTAGTGCATTCCTATATTTCTCAAACATTTTACAATTTCAAATCCTAACTATTTCTTTTTTTGGTACAAATATTTTTTTCGGAATATATTTTTTTGATACTTATAAGTAAACAAATTGTTTTTGAAAAATATTAAATATGCAATGTGCATTCATTAATGCATATGGTTAATAAAACAGCAAACATGTATTTAAAAACATTTATTGGATAACATAAGATAAGTTCTATAAAATATGTGGGAGGACAACAACAGTGTCATACTTGTTTGGGTTCACTTGGTCACACTTGTCTTATTGGCAAACTCCAACTGCGTGTCGTTCATCGCTTTGACCTCTCGTTGAAGTTCCTTCACCACAGTGGCGAGGGCATGCGGATTCACTCCGTTTTCACACAGTCTGATGCAAATGCTCAGAGTGTTTTCATCGAGATTCGTGTTCAGCAGCTTGGAGATCTGGTATAAGGTTCGGAACGTCTTACGAGCGGCATTCACCTGGTGATTCACAGGCTCCGGCATGCTGGCTCGTTTCTGTTCCTTTCTAGGAATAAACAAAACACTCATGTTACAAAAAACGTTTCTTTAATTCACTTGCATTAATTTAGAATTAAAGTTTTATTATGTACAGGTCTTAGTGTATACAAATGTTTCTTTAAACTTGTCAGTGTCTAATTTCCAAATACATTTTATAGTCAATTTAATATATTCTTTAAATCTTTTTCAGTATTTTCTTTTCTATTTTAAATAATTTTGAAACAATAGCCAATGTCAAAAAAATAAATAAATAAAATGCATCGTTTGGATACAAAATCAATATGCAAATTATTTTAATATCAATTTGAGAGAAAACTGGAATACTTGTGATTTAATTATATTTCCTTAGATTATTGTCTCTATAATAGATGAGAAAGAACAGTCTAAGAATAAAAAACAAATAGGTTAGGTTCTTAATTGAAGTCAAACTTTTTTAGATTTAGAAACTTTAGTATTTAAATACAGTAATAAATTCATTACTATTTCTCGTGATTCAAATACTCACTCGTCGACGTTAGACAGCTTTATAACACAATATCACAAACATAAATAAATAAAATGCATCGTTTGGATACAAAATCAATATGCAAATTATTTTAATATCAATTTATTGAAAACTGGAATACTTGTGATTTAATTATATTTCCTTAGATTATTGTCTCTATAATAGATGAGAAAGAACAGTCTAAGAATAAAAAACAAATAGGTTAGGTTCTTAATTGAAGTCAAACTTTTTTAGATTTAGAAACTTTAGTATTTAAATACAGTAATAAATTCATTACTATTTCTCGTGATTCAAATACTCACTCGTCGACGTTAGACAGCTTTATAACACAATATCACAAACATTCGTCGCAAAAAGAGAATTATCAAGTCCCGGGAACCTAAACATAAATAATTGCGTCACGGATATTTCGAGTCGTTTGATTGACCAATCAGAAAAGAGACAATGATTTCTTTTATTCTGATTGGTTAATATTTGTAGAGTTGATAACGTAACGTAAATGTAAAAGGTAAACATGCAAATAATCTTGTAAAATGTTAAATAATTTTTATTAAATATTGGCATAAAAAGTAAATTAAAGAGGTAAAACAAAGGGAGATTCTTTTATAATCGAAATGTGAGAACTTTATCGATATAGTACTTGACGCGCATGTGCGAACACTGATTGAATTCGCGCGTGTGTGTGTGTTGTATATGGGAGGCCACATTTATATCTACTTATATCACGCAATATTTTTATACTCTGTGTTATTTGAGTAAAATATTAAGAGTCCGTTGTGCCGCCCACGGACGGGAACGGACGTGTTTAGACACGTTACGCGTGTGTCCTTTGGACTTTATTTTTGAGTTTCTTCCTCTCCTTTAGAGGAATCTTTCCATTATTTACTCTCATTTGTTACTCCCAACCTGTTTTTGGCCGGATTATACCGATCCAATTAGATCGGATGTGGCCACGATAAAAAAGAAGAAGAAGAGTAAAATATTATATATTACTTACGTATCAATATATTACAGAATCTAAATATCCAATAATAATATCCAAGAATATCCAAATATCCAAGAATATCAATCCATATCTGAGTATGTATTTATTTTCACCTTTTAGAACATCGTAATAATCAATGGACATAGAGTACATTTCAGAGTGTATCGAATAAACGTTTCGTAATAATAATTTCTACGACATATTAGTTTTGCATGAAAAAATTAAAAATATTAACATAATTATCACGCGAAAATTATTCCTCAAAAGAATGTTAATCTAATCTAATTGACTCGCCGACGAAAAACGTAAATAGTCTATCATTATTATTAATAATTTATTTAGTATTCTCATTTCTATTATTTTCTAGAAATGTATATCTTGAAATGTGTATCAAAAAATCTTTATAATCTGAGTAAATATACTTATGTTACTTGTATCCTTTCAGTATTTTACAAGCATTAAAATGGAGATGCACAGCAATCACAACAAAGCTATAACAAAGGACAAGAACGAGCCTCCCTTCGGTAAGACGGAGGATATGATTGCGTTATTGAATGCTCTCTTCAAGTATGGATATTCAAATCTTCCTTCCTCTATACTGCCAAACATGTCTAAAGAGGAACGCCATTCTGCATTACAGTCGACACTCGAACAGGCAAAGATTGCTGTTAACAAGAAATCTTCAATAATTGATTGGTTAAACAGTGATATATTTGGCAATGATGAATATGGTATACCTCTGGCATTGTTACTTATTGGATTATACGAGCAGTATCCATCGTCTGAACAAAGAAATAAAGAGTGTAACTTTAGGTATGACATAGAAAAGATATTTTAAATTTTTCTTCACATATACATATTTTTGTCTTGTATATTTTAATATTTTTAATTCTCTGTTGCTTAGATACCTTTCTTTCTCTCATTACAGTTTTATAATTTTCTTGGCTATTATTTCCTTTGTATATAATAGCATTATATTTATTTCTCAATTAACATTATATATTTGTATTGAATATACAAAATAGAGAAAATACTTTATAAAACTTTTATATTTATATTATATTATAATTTTAAAATTACAACGTATTGTTTATAATACAATTAACAAGTCTTTCAGGAGACTTCAAGTATGTATTTGTGTATGTTATTTCTAAATGCTTGTATCTAAGGTATCTAAGGACTAATCTTAGGACTAAGAGAAGCTGTTAAAAATTAATCTTTACCAATTATTCTTTTAGAAATACTAGAAAGGAAAGCAGCAAAGAACTGTTCATCTTAGAACTATAAGTGATTTTAAATTTTTATAATAAAAATTTTCAAGTTCCTTTATTCTAAGATTTTTGAGCTTGAAGATTTAAAATTTCTAAAAGGTTTGTAAAACTCAAGAAATAGGTAATTATCATTTGTTTTATCTTGAAAGATTATTGGCATGTTAATAATTTACTTGATTAATCAATACGACTTTATCGCATTTCCAAATTATTAAACAGAAGTGGATTATATTTCACGCATATTAGGAAATGGGGTGCTTCATAAGAAATATGTATTTGTCTTTTCTCTTTAATTCGTTAAAATTAATACGTATCGATATTTTCCTCTAATCCGCGCTGATTATATTCGTTTAATTAATTATTTAATATTTCCCAGGCATCGTCTTCCGCTTTAGAGTTCCAGTTTTGTTGTGCTTTATTGTCTGTTTCAAAACTGATTAGTGATTCTTCCTTTGACTGTCTCTTCGATATTACTGCCTTACTTGCTTCTTTCGTGTCATTGTTCCAATCCCAATCGCAATTTGATGTGTTGGAGAAACCTCCAGTAGAAATATTACTCCTAAGGTGAATTAAGCAAAGAATTAGTTTTACAAAATTCTAATATTTTATAAAATTCTATTAATGTGCAAGAACTTAATGTCCATTTATTAATTAATGAGAAACTGTGTTTCCATTTTATTATTAGAAATTTAAAAACAACTTACTTCGAACTGGAGCTTCTCACAAGAGATGATTTTTCGTTAGAGCGATTTGACTGCATCGAATCGCTATTTTGATACGCATTAGGGCAGTTGGAGGAACATTGATATAGATCTGTGGAATCGTACTGTTTTTGTTGTTCGGCTGAATTGGTCCCGGCGATGTCACCCCATCCTCCTCGTCTAGTTATGTCCCCCACCTATACATTACTTTCTCTTAAACTTCTTAAATTTTTAATATTTGTTCACACAGACTTGATTTTTATAATTAACTTCTTAATTATATATATAAACAATCTTTTGACACAAAAACCAAATGATGGTAACAAAAGAGAAAGCAAATGAAAGTATCTGTACCTTTGTAACCAAATGATTAACCTGGCTTCCGACGTCCTCTAATAATGTACCGTCTCGAACCTAATGACGTAATATAAAAAGAAGAAAGAAAAATGGAATAAAAAAAGTGTAAAGTTTTTAAAATCATTAAATTTAATTAAATCTGATGTAAGACAAAAATGATCCAAAATAAACCTACAAAAATAATAATAATCAATCGATATCGCGTTTATAGCATCAAGTAACAAGTAAATTCACTCTGCATGGGTTTATAACAATAAAAAAAGTAATGCAAATAAATATTAGTGCAACAGCAAATTATAATCAATATTGTTCAATTCTGTTTTTAAATAATGCTTTTGAAGAAAACATTTAAACAGCATTGCCAAGATTATTCAAATTATACTTAATCAAAATTAATTAAGTATAATTTTAATATAATTTCTTTAATAGTATTCAATATTTCTGAGTTTTTCGTTCCTAGATTAGTTTAAATTTTCAAGAATATTTCCAGATTTTTTAACACTTGCCTTTTGTGTCGCGAGTCCTCCGATCTTGATAGCATTTTCGGTAGCTTTGCTCGCTATTTTCGATGCCGAAGAAGAAAATATTGACCAACCCTGCAAAATTAGCAGATAATTTAATTGTTTCATCAAATATACATTACAAAAGTTTAATAAACATTAAAAGTCATACAGTTGCTAACGAAGAAACTGCGGTGTCGAATAGTTCCTGGGACGAACTTTTGGGCGGTGGATCCATTTGATAACCGAAGCCACCATATTTGCCGCCTTGACTAGGTGGAATGTTACTGAAAAAAAAAAAAAATTGATAATTTCACATTAAATTAACAATTAAAATATATCTAGTTTTCAAATTTATTTCTCGATTTCTTGTTTTTTTACATTATCATTCATCCGGTTGTTTAATCAAAAAAATTTAGATTATATGAGAGAAAGAGAGAGATTTGAAACTACAGAAATGTATGCCTGATAAGATATAGGAAATAAATAAACTTACTCTGGCCGATTGGCGTTTTCATTCTGTCTTTTCGCAAAAAAAGTTTCCGTTTGTGCCTTTAGGTTTGAATTCATATTTTGGTAAGAAAAGGACAAATCGCTCTGATACAAATACTCTTGTTTGTTTTCAGTGAACGTTGAAGGTTCGAAATCTTTTGCCGCTGAACTGCTTGGACTCCAAGATTCTCCTCGTGCCAATGTAGCGATCTAAGCACGAGAAGAGAAATATATGTTTAAGAGATGAATAATGTGATGAAAAATGGATGGAATAGACGAATAATTTAACTGTTATATAACGTACCACGTTCAACATACTTTCTCACCTTGTCTTTGTACAATGCTGCAGCTTTTGTATTGTAACGTTGTGAGATAGACATATCTTCATCCCAGTCAGGTTGATTTTCGAAAAATTCTCGAGCGTTTCTATTACCACCGACTTTCATTTTCTCTAGTTCGACATCCTTCCACTTGTCCATAGAGACAGAGCGGACAAATGACAAGTGTACACCTAAGCCACGATGCTTGCCCGAACACTCCAGACATATCCAGATCCCATATGTCACAGATACCCATTGCGGATTGTGGCTGCCACATTCAAAGCATTTCTGCAAAATATGTATACAGGTTTATATAAATCCCTCAGTTATGTATTACAAAGTCAATCATAAATTACTTATATACATATTTAATAAGTATTAACAATAATAAGTATAGATGAAGATATTATATGAAGCACTGAGATAAAAATTACATTTATTGAAAATAAGAATGAGCCAAAGTTTAATTTAAAAAACATCTGTAATTAAGTAACTGTAATTTTTTCAACTGTCATTTATCTGATTTTTATTCGGAGAAAGAAGTGCATGTTATTAATGTTTTATTCTATTTTCAAGCTTACGTTATTCTCATCCCTCAGCTTCAATTCACCCAGCATTCGTCGTGTCCGTGGACTGGCCATGATCACATCAATCAGTTGTCGAAAGATTCTGAAATATAAAGCAAGTATAGTGTCAATCAAGGTGGCAACAATTTCCTAAATTCGCATTTTTAATCGAAGATTTTAGTAAACAATATATAGATAAAAGTTAAACTTTTGATCGAAAAAGTAAGAAATTATTTACAAGTACCGGTAAGTCGAGTTCAACTATTTCAATCATTAATAAGCTTAATAATTATTATAATATGCAAAATAGAGAAAATAATCCAAGTCGAGAATGTGTAAGATTTAAAATTTAAGAATTATTTAAAAATTCCACGAAAAAAATCTTTGAATTTTGACGCTTCCAAAATTATTTGACAGAGATCAAACAGAATTGACAGAAACGTTTACCACAAAACCATTATATATCGAATGATTCTTCTACAGGATGGGAAAAGTAGATTCTACAAAAGTAGACATATTGCAGCGAAAGTCGGACACGATTTTTGCGCTTGGGAATTGGGAACGTGCTTGACGTATTGACGTCATAAGGAGTTTGAGGCTGTCAGCCGCAAGAGGTCATCGTGTCTCGCATTTCGATGAATCGAAAGACATCGTGAGATGCAGTCGATTATGAAATGGCGGCGGTGATGGATAAAGATTTGCGCGAAATATCGAATTCTTTTTCGCGATTCTTTCGCAGAATTAGAAGGTAAGGTACTTGCCATTTAAGAACTTCTCTTTTTCGGTAACGATAACGGCCTTACATTTTGTCTCTAATGAGGAAAAAAAATGACTCTGACACTTTTTTTTTCGGTAACGAAATTTAGCATTCGACCTTCGACCGTTTTATTTTTCGGCGCTTTGCTACGCGGCATAATTTCCATGCAAATAAACACACATAAAGAGCACATTAATTAAATTCTTTTAGAAATTACTGAATAATCTCAGTAAAATTTTATTTTAAATCAAATTATATAATTCTTGTAATCTTTTTTTATTTGCAGTATTTAAAGATTTTAAGCGAAAGAATTTTATGCAATGTTTTTGGAGAAGGAAAGTTTTTCTATAATTAATTCTATAAGTTTTTCTATAATTAATTCGATAAGTTTTTCTATAATTTTCTATAATTATTTTATATGATTAAGATATTAAGATTCAAAATTCTTAATATATACTTTATATCGATAATAATATCAATATCATACTTCATTAAGCAGATAAATATTTATTTTAAAATATATATATTTATGAGGGAATTATGAATTATGTATATTTAAAATATATTATAAATAGATATATCTCTGTGTTCATATTCAATATCTCAGCAAAATACAGTACACAATCTTCACTGAATATATATCTTCACTATAATTTTTGGCAAAAAAAATTATAAAATTATACGAGTGAAGAATGCTTATGAAAATTATTCCATTTTTTAACAAAATTTGAGTAGACACTTTGGAAAAAGAAAAGTTTTGTAATATGTCATCTATATATCTGACTATATATATATTTACACTGCATATTACTATATAGTATATCACACTCTATAGCTTACTATATGTTGCTATAATTATTATTACATTGAAAGTAATTAATTGATATAGTAAAACGTATAAATAAATCATTTTGATATAATAAATATATTTTGTATATTAAAATTTTTCTTGTATAATTATTTTGTATAATTAATATCGTGTAATAAATATATAAATATAACAATTAACTCTCTCTTTCTCGTATATGAATAAAGTATATATAAGAACATACATTTTATAAACTACAATTATAATCTATAAATTATATGAATTCTGAAATATTACGTTGCTATCATATATATCATAATAGATTTAATATATTTAATACCTATAAAGCTGCAAGAATTTATTAATACAAATTTAATAGAGCTATATAATTATATATAATTTAATTCTTTGCACGGTTTCTCTAAGAAGAGACATTATTTTCTTATTTAATATTTTACAATTTAAGATCTAATAGCTGTGAAACTATTATATATAACAATAACTTATTCACAGTTGTCGGCTGTAACCAAGGCGGACTAGAACAACGGATACTAATAGGATGACTATGGAATTCGGGAAGCTGGAGGATGCTCCGTTCACATTCCAGCAGACGTCGAGCTTACAATTGGACACCAGTTTGCCTAATCTCCTCTTCAAAAATTCCCAGTCGCAAAGGCCCACCTGGCAGCCTTCGTATCGCACTGGTTTTTCCGCCAGGTAAAACATTACTTTATTGCGGTCGTTGTTGTCGTTACATCTGCAATAGAATACAGATTTTTTATAAAGATTAAGATCCCCTTTAATATAATTAGGATAATAGTATTTTCGTTACGCAGAGAAATTTAAAACCAACTGCTTTTCAATTCTTTTATTAAACTTGGTTTAACTGACTGCTTTATTTAATTCTGATTACTTTATAAAACGGATTAAGAGAGATCTTAAGTATATCCTAAATCAAAGGATACACTTTTAAGGATACAATTAAAAAATATAGAAATTAGAGCATAATTTATGAAGTAGTAGAATAAAAAATCTATCTGCATCTAGCATCAAGCATTCAAAAATTTTGAATGTGTAATTACAAGAGTTGTTGGATAAAATATCGTATATTATTATCGATACTAGAAATAATCGAATATGAAGCAGCAGTAAATTAATAATTAACTTAACTATAAAAGAGAGATATACACGTCAAAATAATTGAAATGGAATAAATAATAATAATAATAAATTTTTAGTGAGGGATTAAAACGAAATAAAACGTGAAAAATAAATGTATGATAAATAAAAGAAACGCGTGTATTCTCACTTGTAAAATACGGCGATAAGATTCGCGGCATAGGACGATATTAGAGACGTGCGCCACTGTCGTCTGGCCATGTCCTTGTAGTTGTAACTAGTCAATCGTGTCGAATCCTCGTTTATGCCCATAGCGGTTAGGAGATTTTGCAGGCTGATTATATCACTGAAGTAAAAGATGCCCGTGGGTTCGCCCGACATCTGATCGTTGGCTATATTCCTAATGGAAAGAGACATATGCTTCGAAATCCTCGATTTTCTGAATTCTGAATTTTCTTCTTTAAATTACAGAATATAAGTATAACGATGTCAAATTATTATTCCTCGCATAATCTTCATCGATCTCTATTTTTAAAAAATTCAGTGTATAAAAAAATAGAATTGGAAGGTTTAATAGAGATATCTCAATTCATATTTCAAGACCGAAAAAAAAATGTTTGATGAGATTCGAATTATAAATGGTACCCAAAATGTTGCATCATATTGTGCAGAAGAGGACATCCTAGACGAGCGTTGATCTCTCGTCCGTAGCCCGCTTTGTAGTAATAATCGAGATCCTCTCTATACTCCAGGATGCGGAGCTCCTCTTTGCTAAAGACGGCGCACCAAGGTGAAAGTTTAGTCACGGTCCAGGCTTTCTCGTATCGGCAGGCGTCATACATTGCATCGATTGTTTCTGGAAATGTTCAAATCTATAGAAATATATTGGCTGTTTCTATAAATATTTGATGAGTGTATAAACTTTTTCATGGACGAGAAATTTTTCGTCCATGAAAAGTTTAAAATAATTGCATAGAATAATTATATTAATAATATAATAATAATAATATATATAATTATAATTCTAATTATATTAATAATATAAAACTTGTCCAATTGTACAGTCCCAATTTTTATGAAAAGTTTACATAAAATAGATTTGTATTTAGACAGCGAGCTTAACGGAGCGGACTCTCATTGGAAGAAAAGCGCTTTTCCTTTCTCGTCTCGCGGATCGCGGAATAAACCTACATTTCGCCGCCGGCTGACGACATCGCAGAATATAATTTATTATCAACTCTTATGAAGAAGCTAGCGTAACGTGGCTGTGCCGATTGCATAACCGGAAGTATTCGCGCGTTCGCCGCCGAAGTTTTGCCGCGAGCATTGCCAGGTAAACCAGTAGATAATAGATGATGCGATAAATTAGCGAGAAGACGATAACGGATTCTTAGAGTTGACTCGCGGTATCTATGTGTATACGCTTTGAAAAATCATCTTTCTCAAGTCCACAGATGTTAGACAATTTATTCAAGTGAAAAATAACTGAACACATCTTGAGGATACAAGAATGCGCGAAGATTCGAACGAGAGATTTGGAGGGACTGGAAGATCTAATTATCTCGCAGGGATTTGATTTTTGTGAGAACATTGTCGACGCGAAGTCCAAAAATAGCCTCCAAGTGAATGAGAGAGTAGAATTATTACGTCGTACATTGATCAATAAAATTCTAATCGATGTAAACTGGTTTCCAGTATACTTCTAAGCCTGGGAGACTCTCCTCTCGCTAGGTGCGGCTATTTTTGAGATTTTGTAATCGACGAAGAATTAGAAATAGCTCGTATGTAATAGTGACGAATAAGGCAATGAAACGCGATTAGAGTCTTCTTCTTTCGCTGATGACTTTACTACTGCTTGGCCTACTTATGCTTAATTTCTCGTGTCCGCACATACCACGCAAGTGCTACTGCCGTATCTTTAAACATCGTTGCAAATCTTATTTCAATGCGAAATCCATTATTCATGCCCGTCCCGCTTCAGGCGTCATTCGAAGGTAATATAACATACGCATACGTGCAGTGGACGAACAGGAAAATATTCATCAATTCTTGTTTTTCACGTAATAGAGATGTTTCGTATGAAGAAATTATTATTATGGAAGTTGTAGAAAATGTATAAATGACATATCTGCTCCGTGTATAATTTCTTTCTAATTAATTTTCTATTAATTTGTTAATTTGTGTAATTTCGAATTTAAAATAACAGGAAATCTAATTGCTACTGTCTAATTCTCTCAATTGATTACAGGACTATTTAATTGGTAGAATGAACGAAATTAAGATTACTCTAACGATTCTTCGATTGGGATGGAATTACTTAAGAACGAAGGATATCGTGATTTATAAAAGAAATCGAGATAATTACTCTTAGAAAGGAAGAGGATATTACGAAAGGAAGAAGATTAGGATAATTATGAAAAAGACTAAGAGAAAATCGAAGCAAGAAACGATCGAATAAAACTTCTTTATGTGAGATTTGTGGATGACTTCAAATCACGATGGCTTAACGTTAACTCTACGTAAAATAGAAAAGATACGCTTAAATATCCTTCATGACAAATTTGCGCAGCTGCAGCGAAACGGTAATGATATATAGTAAAGTAAAAGAATGCGCGTCGCTGTTAGATATATAGCTGTCATATATAGAGATGACGTATGCTCGGGCGTGGAAGAACAGAAAAAAATTTTCAATTATTCGGGAAAACAAATCGAATTTTGTAATTCTTGATTCCTTACATTTTTTGAATACTTGGCATCTTAAAAATTTAATGTAGATTCTTTTTTTTCGCACAATTCTTAAACTAAATATTCTTTAGCAAAGTCTTCTTCGATCTCCTGAACTTTTGGATATATCTATTGCAATATTTCTAAATCTGTGAATTCTTGAATTTTTAGATCTCATGATTAGTATCTCATTTCGTTAATCTATTTATTATTTTCACTTTTTACTAAATTGGTCAATCTTATAGATTCACGAATGGAATTTAAAAATAATTTCTTGATTTCGTGGCAGTCTTCTTGTCCTCTTTGAGTCCTCGATATCCGAATACACAGTTTTTTGAATGCATTTTAACAAAAAATATTCTTTTCATCACGTACTCCGGCAATAAAAATGGTAGACGGCGGGGGCGCGCGACAATTGTTCATGAAAGTAGGACGATGACGCAGGTCACGCTCGATGATTCTTGTTAGAACAGGAGAACAGCGTAATTATATTTGTGTGTTTTACGCGAGCGCGAGTTCGTTTTCAGTGAAATCCGATAATGTATCGGAGTAGACGAGCGGTGATTGCGATCCTCGAATTACGCGATCGAAAGCGAACGCTGCGCACTTTTGTGTCGGATAACAGGAATTTACGAGGGAACGAGAACGCGCACACGATATGTATTTATCGCGCGATATCTCATTCAGGCTACGTTTCTAATTAGATCGTCATCTCGCGTGCGTTGAAGCGCGATATGTTAATTTTGCACGTTAACTTTAAGGTCGCAAATCGAGCGTTTCCGGCGATTCTGACGAGGATTCATCTACATAGATTCAGTGCGAATCTTAGCGTTTAGAATGCGAGAACTTGAGAATCTTAAAAATTTAGAACGGTAGGTTCAAAATGCGGAATTTTTGCGAAACTACTTGTCAGTGAAAATTTTTAAGAATTCTAGAGATAAAGTTGATATTGAAGGATTTTTTTTAAGAAGGCGAGAAACCCCGAGTGTTTAAGAACTTTGAAGTCCAGCTGTCCAAACAAACCTATCATCAGTATTTGATTGATGTCTAATAATTCATAATCTTAAGATTTTTTTAACGAGATTTTTAAAATCAAGTTCGTAAAGTTTTGATCACCAAAATCGAAAAAATTTTAATTTACAGGGCACTAATAACCTGAAATTCGGATTTAAGAACTGAAGAATCTACCAATTCAAGTGTCTAATAAAATTAGAATACTAATAATTTAATCAAATGCTTAGCACATTTAAAAATACAGAATAATTTTAAAAAATTGGAAAACTTGGACAAGAAAGGGGTGAATGTTTATCTCAATAAAGATTTTCATATCAATTTTCTACGAAAGATATTTATAATTTTATGTTAATTTTCCATGAAAGATACTAAAAATTAGGAACACACATGATTTGAAATAATTTTTATATTTTGTTTTATTTCCATCAAAATATTTATTATCTTAATTGATATATTTTGATTATCTTTATGTGTATGCTTCAATATCTTTCTAAATTCCTTTCAGATTAAAGCATAAAGATATGAAAACGGGACTGAATCGATCGGATACATACGAGGATCTAAAAACGCTCGGTGATCTAGGAACAAACAGTATCCGGAATGCTGCAAATTGAGATCAAAGATTCTTGGGAGAGAAAAGATTCACTTCCGAGGTAAGGAATGTAAACAATGCACACTTTCGCGCGCGATCGCCAGGTTTGTGTTCAAAGCCGCTGCTCGCCGCGGCGGTTCGTGTGGTACTGTCGCGCGAGGTCGTCGCGCCTGGTTGCTTACTGGACAGCCGACGGCACCTAGACCTGGCGTCTAGCGCAATTCTAACGTGCATTTCAACCTCGATCTCTTCGACCCGGTTTAGAGACACGCGGGCGTTTCTATTTCAATCGTTCGATCCTTACCACGGTACGCGTTAGATCTTCAGACTCTAGGGAAAAGTCGATCTTGCATTCCATTTCTTATTTATATGCAAAACGTCGGCGAATGAAAGATATTGATGAGAATCAAAGGTGTTTCAATGTTATAATTAATGTAATAATTTTTTTCTATTGTTTAGATATTCTTATATAGGTAAAATGGACTACTATAACAAGGATAATTAATTAAATAAGCTGTGCAAGTTTTATTCACCTCGATACGATTGCTTCGCCGTTGCCAGATGACTTGCCGATTTCCTTCATCTCTCTCTCTCTCTCTCTCTCTCTCTCTCTCTCTCTCTCTCGACTATTCTTTTATGATATTAACGTATCACTCGGAAACACTGATAATTACAATCACTTGCATGCTAATCAACAGATTACGACGATCGCGCAAATTTTTATACGGATATTTCTAACGTTAATCACACGTGACACGTTTTATTCTATTTTATTATATTGTACAAAGTATTTAATTATAGATATGATTATATTTATTAATTAAATGCATTGTAACACCGCTGCACTTGGAGTCGATCTGCTCCGTATTCGTGATGTTTAATTGACGATCATCCTAATACTATTCAATCTGATGATTGATATATTATTGCGTGCTGTTAATCCGAAAATAATGAGCAAATTGTATTTAAATCGGCGAAAACTTTTGCGAGATATAATTCGAATCCAAGCATAAGATTAAAGATATCATTATCGCCCATCAAAGATCGCGATGAAACGATAATTTATGCAGTACTGTTTTTAACGTGAGAATCAATTAATCGCACGGTTTGATAATCGCTAATTGCTATAATCATAGAACATAATCTTCATTTTTTGTCGAGAAATATTCCGACGACACACACGGGACTTACTCGCTCGAATCTCGCCATGTGATAGTCAAGGTTGTATTGATTGTACAGATCTTTCCTATTTAATTTTATGCTGCCACGAAATATTTAACGTATTACAAAATATAAATTATGCGAGATATTCTGTTTCTAGATTTAATTGCAAAATTTATGATTATTAATTAGCAATTAATGTATCGCAATTTTTCGTCATTCACGTCACTCGATTTCTTCGTAAAAAAAAAACGGGCGTCGAATTTTGCGGTAGAATGATCACTCGTAATAGACACCGAACACGCAGCACTGAGCGTAGAAAGTTTGACCTTCGAGAGAGAAGAGAGAATAATTGTCCTTTTCGCTATCCCACAGGAAACCTAGAGTCGTTTCTACGGATTGACTGGCCTTTTCAATTATCGTAACTCTGACGATGATCTTGTGTCTGAAGAGAAATGGAAATAGCAGTATATAAACATAGTGAGTTAAAAAAACTTGATGTGTTTAAAAAATATTTCAGAAATTTCATAAAATCTTTCGGTAATTATACGTATTCAGAATTTTTATACCGGTACATTGCTTCTTGATCTACGTTGTTTTCAGCTCTTCGTCAATTTAAGAATTAACGTGAATTATTTTATTAAATAATTATATAAATTAATTAGAAATAAAATTTATGTCGATTGCATCTTTTTTTATATATGTGCATTTCTATTTATGAAACATGGCTCTCTTGTGTGATTTATTTTACAAGTTAATTTCGTCGATAATGTATACATAAAAAAATTAAAAAAAAAAAAAAAAACTTATACGTATCTTTTGTAAATAGGATTTTTGTCGAGAAGACAAAGACCCTTCCCACCAGGAATATCAGCTGTAAATCTTCGAGGATGCAGTTTCCGTATCCGCACACACCTGTCGAAGTTGAGTTTTTTCACGCGCCGCCGTATTTCCGAAGCGACATCGCCGCACAATTTCGCGACCACCGTATCATCGTACGAGAGCTCGTCCAGACGATTGTTCATCACCGATCTCACGATCTTGTCCACCAAATCGGCTTTGAACGGATTCCGCGGCTCTATGCGGTAAGTGTTCTGATACTTTGGCGTCTGCAACAAATCACACTCTAGTTACAATTTGAAAATTTATCTAATTTTTTATTTAATCTATTTTTATTTTGTTATTATGTATACATATTTTACGTTTTATATATCATATTTTGTGCATGTTTTTTTTTAAACCTTCTATTCATATATGTATACAAGATGCCATCACAACTCGCAACTTTTTAACGCTAAAAAAATTGGCTCTATTAAGAGGAGAGAAAGATATTAAAATTAATTATTAAAATTTAAAAAAATTTGACACCATGTATATTAATATGGGTTTTGTTAATACAATATGAGAAAACATTTTGTACATTAAATTCTTACCTCATTGTCGTCGCAAGTCTTCTCATTTGCGTCGTGTTGGGACGGCATGATATATCTATCTTTAATAATAAATCAAAAAAATATTTGCTATTTCTTTTGCAATAATCAGCTACTTAGTCAATTTTCTTGTAAGAGTGCATGTATCTAAGGTAAACGACAATCAGTCACTTAGAAACGCCACGATCGATAGAGACGAAATTAAATATTCGCCAGGATTGGGAGAATTACTTTTTTCATGTAACTCGTTGTTATTGCTACTCAAAAAGTAACGAGTTGTTACAATTTCTGGAACAGGCAAATTATATATATATATATATATATATGTATATAAAAACACATAAAATTTGTTAAACATTTTTTTACATTCAAATATAGCAAAAGCGATATATTTTTGATATTGATATCGCTATCGATGTAAAGTGTGTAACAATTTGATAACAATTTTGAATCTTAATATCATAATCTGAAAAAACTTTTTTCAGAAACATTGCAATGAAAACTTTTTTTTTAAGAGATCTGCAAATTCTATAAATATAAATAAAAAAAGATTTCCCTAATTTTTTTCTTTTAATAACTTTACAAATATGATCAAAATTGCTTTTTTTGCAATGCCCCTATAACTTTGAGATTTCAAAATCCTGATGTAATACGCTAATTCACGATTCAGATTGTTAAATTCGTTACTAGTTACTGAAAAGGTAGATCAAAAGTTACTTTTTTGAAACATATTACTTCCCAATTCTGGTATTTGTTTATAATGAAATAAAGAATTTAGAGAATCTAAAGAAAAATGCCAAAAATGCCTATATTTATAGGATATATATAAGAATAGAGATAGAAAGAATATAAAGGAGATATAAAAATACATAAATATATGATTCCCGCGATATTGATCAAGCGTGTTTCGGAGTTAAAAAAATTATTTAGAAGAAACATATTATATCTAGAAATATACTTTTTTATTTTTGTATGTATATATATCCTCGATAAATATACGAGCTATTACAATTTTCTTCATGCCTGCTTTTTCTTCTCTTTTTCTCTTTTTTGTTACATCAAAGAATTTGAGCTGGAATTTCCGAAAAGCTTCATCAATTTCTCGGTAACTTTATCCTTCACGTAAGAATACAAGTATTGTATATATTAACACAGACAATGACATAATATCAGACTAACGTGAGATGTACTTAATAATATTTTTTATTTCATTGTACATCGTTTGTAATATTTTCATCGGCGATCCTCTTGATCTCCGCAAAAAAACGTCGCATCTTAATCATTATTTAACAATTCACTCTCTTTTTTTGTTAACATTTTGATACGAGCCTTAAAATACATTTTGTATAGCGGTAATTAATTTGAACTTGCATAAAATTCGACGCATTACCAGTAAAGATAAAGGAATGTAAGTGCTTGTGTTTCGAAGATAGATCTCCGATGATTTACGGGCATGCGTTTTGCAAGGAGCTTTCGGATTCTTCTGAAATTTCTCGAGATTTCCGAAGAACTCTGACAATTATGCAAAGACAAAAGTAAGATAAATTTTTACCTTTACACTGTAATACCCTATAATTGTAATTGTCCTTCATTAGTTTTTATCTTTTTATTTGCTAAAAAGTATTTAAACTTTTATTTATTAATAATTTTGTAATCAACTATATAGGGCTATAATGTCTTTTGAATATTACTTAAAAATTGTGAGGGTCTTGACAACATATGCCAGTCCAAAGGTCTATGGGTATGACTGTGTAAAGTTAAATACTTATCGAAAGTAGTAAAGTTTTGCCGCACGAAGAGTAGCGCGAAAAATACGCTCTCTAAAATATACATATATTCATATTACACATTAATCGACACGTCAATTCCATTTACAAATCCTAATGTCACGACAAAACGATCGTTATATTTGCAAAATTTTACTTTTCATTATCTAACGTCGCAATAGCAATATAATTTCATCGATCTATCAAGCAATTATTAAATTAAAATCATTGCTAGTAAAAAAATAATTACTCTCTTTACTTACGATTAAATCAAATTAATACCCTTTCGCGTTTGGCTGTCTAATAATGCTACGCCTACGTTACATAAATAATTATAAGTACTTTTCTTCATAAAAAAAAAAAGATCTTACGCGAAATAAATAATTACTAAAGAGATTGCGCGATAAAAAATCTTGCTTAAATTCGTAAGAAAAAAAAATTTATAAAAAAAAT